ACTGATAAAAGGTTCAGTAGAGACATTAAAATATGCAGAATTTATTCATTTTGTAATATAAGGCTATTGATTTAAAAAAAAAAGTTGGGGTCACCAGCCTTATTTTCAAGAAATTGATGGCTGTATTTTAGTGGAAAGTCACCATTTTGCCACTATTATAATGCTTTTACCTTAAGTTCCTATAGCAGAGATACTATGCAATATCTCAAAATCTAGCCGGTGACATAGGCTGAAAAAAATCGTATATTGCTAATGATGGAGTACTTTTTATTGTTCTGAATTCTTTAAAAAATCTAGGTTTCAAAGTGTCAGGAAATGCAATTTTTCTTTATCATTGGAAATGTTCTAAAAATAGCGATTTTCAAGTAATGTTTAGGACACGTTTCCCAAAAATGTAAGACACAAATAATGATATTTCATTGTACCATGGCATATTAGCTTCATGATTGTACATAATAAACTAATGAACACTGTTATGCGATTTAAAGCGGGAGGGTCGTCTCCAGCGCACGCGCGGGAATTGAGACCCAAGCGATGATAACAACACACGCTAAAAACGCAAAGGCTCATTGGTAAACGCTTGTTTGTAAACAATGACCATCTAACCGCATGCGCGGGTAATAACGCATGCGCAGGTGGCAACTCCCGCTTTAATGTAAAATGTTGAATAAAACGCCTGGTTATGTTATTAAACTTATGTTATGTTATGTTATTAAACTTATTTGAACTAACTGTGATTTGTTTCCTGGTACGTTTACAACTCGGGGTTTATTTTCGTCCGTTAACAACCGGGTCAAGATGTTTAGATAGGCGGCTGCTGGAGATTATGTTGTGTTGTAAAACCGCTAGTCGGAAATCAATGCCTGTCTTAATAAGAGTAGGTTGTGGGAAAAAAGTCACCTAATAGTATGGACATTAAGGGATCTCGTGTTTGGGTGTTAAATTTATGTTTTGTTGTTGGTGTTTAGTTTGTCCCCACAATTGTACTTATTTGTTTTGTTTTCATTCTGTTATATTTTCATTTTTTTTTTCGCATGTGAATATATCATGTGGCTTCCAGTTTGTAGGTCAACACGCGTCGGGTTGAATTGGTTCTTGTCTCCTCGCATCACGCGTTTTGTTTTTGTATGGATGGAAATAAAGCAGCCGCTCCGTCTGATTTGGTTCTGCCGAAATTCTTTGGGCATATATTTCATTCTCTCTTCGGAATGTTATCTTCATTAATCTCCGCGCAAACAAAACGAAGATTTTCGTAAGTTGCTGCAATGATCTCGGTTTTCAGGTTGTTTTATATTGGCCTGTTCTTGATCAACGTTGGTGAAATCTTCATTCTGAAAACTGGAACTGGAAATGTCGCTATAAATTGACGCTTGTCGCAAAACGTTTAAATAAATAGGAGCCACCAGAATTACATATATTGACCCAAATCCGCCTACAACTGGCAATATAATTCACGATACGCCCGTGGTTGAAACTTATCTGGTTTGGGGCATTCTCAAGAATCATCAAACGAATTCTTATGTTACATGACCAATCTTTTACTTCATGCTTCACTGCACGTATTGACCCCGTATAAAAACACTCACATTTGATCGCTCGGCTGTGCACTATTAATCGACGTGAAAACTGTGTTTGGGAGCAAGGTGTCGGGTTGGGTTGGGCCGTAGTGAAGTGAAACAAAAGATCATTAGTATTAATGTTTGGTTCATTCCGCAACCAGGTATTCGCACGAGTGACTACGGACATACATGACACTACTCATCCACGCATTCCTAGTTCGAAATGCCATTGAAGCATATACATATTATTTGTAAACTAAAATGTAATGCGATCTCTTATTACAAAGATCATCAAGGACGACAAGCGGTGCAAACGTATGCAATGTGACAGAATATTGAATGCATACACTTACAACGACCAAGGTAACGAATTACAAATGGGACCTTAGTTCCGAGTGCAGACTGGCGCATTCTTTTCTTTTCAAAGTTTAAATTAAATAAAAGTATCGCAAAACGGAGTTGTTAGCGCGAAATCCCCTTTAACCGCGAAATGTGGTTTCGCGTCACGGTCACGGTTCACCCCAAATTTCGAAAAAATATAACTGGACAAGTCTATCCGCAATGTCTATCCGCAATGTGAAAGTGCACAAAATGCATGGTCACATGGTCGATAACAGATTTATAAAAAAATACTCCCAAATGCATGCATTTGTCATTAAAATACAAAACAGTTTAAAGCGCCCTGGTCGTCCCGCAGCGCGTGTTCGAATTTCAAGTAAATAAACTATGTATTTTACACGCGTTGTATACGTCGGTGTGAGTCCCATGTCGAACTGGACGAGGCACGACGACTGCCGCCCTTTACTTGGCAAAAATTGTGTATAAAACAAAACTGGGAACAAGTAACGTTGGACGTTCTTATTTCGTAACGAGTTTCGTATGCTGAATGGAAACAGAGATGACCTACTTTAAGTTAGTACTTGTACATTATTCGTCGGGCCAATGCCCGGGTCAATAAAAGGTAACGAACAAAAAATGCGACCTTAGTCCCCAATGTGGAAAATACAAAACACTACGAGTGTAAGGTCTCGCGGGTACTTTCTCGTCGCACACATTCATTGTCGACTCGGATAAAAGATTTAAAAAATTCCCCCCCCCCCTCGATGCAGTTAAAGTCATTAAAGTACAAAAGAGTTTAATTAAGATAGCAGGATAGTTTTTTTTGCATGAAAAATGTAAACACCTATAATCCGAATAAATTTTACAAGAAACCATACAATCTATATATGTTTGGAAAGCTCTTGACTTGTATTTTCCTATTATTAATATTTTGTGAACATTGTGTTTGTTTTAGCGTCACGTGATTCTGAAAATCAGCGGGGCTGATAATTTAACTAACGTGAATTAAATTTTAATTGTCATCTCTACAGTCATTCATGCGATCAAAAACTTTACACTGTTTTGAAGCAAAGGTCATGAA